ATATATGTATTTATATATATTCGTATATATGTATATACATATATACATATATATGTATTTATATATATACATATATATTTATCTATATTTATTTATAGATATAAATATATATATGTATATAAATTACATATATATGTATTTATATATATATATACATATATATTTATCTATATATATTTATAGATATAAATATATATGTATATAAATTAAAACTCTGATGAACCAGATTCTACAAAAACCTTACATTTAAATTTTTATAGGTTTTCATCATCATTTGATATATTTGTAGATGAACAGATGCGGCGAAATATTCATCAATTAAAACGGATTCCTCATTTTTCTGGACTGAATAAAACGTGCATTGAATTTAATGAAATGTAACGTGAGACGTCATTTATCTTTGACCCATCAAAATGAATGCGGTCATTTATTTTACAGAATCAAAGTTTAACATCAAACATTTACATTAATTTGGCAAAATATGAAAATAACAACATAATTAACAGCTTTACAGGTAGTGAGAACAATTCGGCGATTGTTTCCACTCTTCAGCAGAACAGCAGACATTAATGAAAACTGTACAATTATGATCAATTATCCACACGGCGGTGGATGAGCACTTTACACAGACATTTCTAAAATATCTGGAAGGATTTCTACTTGAGAGAAGAATTTAAAGATGGAAATGAAGTTTAAAAGGAGTAAAAGATGGTATGTGAGGGGAAGTGTTGACCAGAACCGACACTCTCCATCAGAACCCAGCTTTCCTCGGTACGCTTTGGTAGGAAACTTGACTCATTACCTTTCTGAAGATTAATCAGCAGATATGGAGGTCCAGTTAACGCTACCTGTCCAGCGTCTCCATAGGATGGCTGTGACTCGTCCGAAGTAGTGACGAGATTCCGTCCGACACCAGCTCACATCAGCAATAGACTTCACATGAGTGGGGTCCTTCAGAAGTTCCACTCAGAGGTGGAGGAAATTATAATCCAACTCGGAGGAGCCTTATCATGCTGGACTTCTGTTCTCCCAAACGACTTCTCAGCGCCTCACCCAACTCCTCAGAAGCTTCACCGAACTGAACTTCTCCGCGCAGAACTGAACGGAGAGAACTAGGAAGTACCAGCATTTTAAAGACCTCTATTTCCGGTATATTTGAGCGTCCCTGATTGGGTAATATCAACCAGACAGGGGTGTGGTTTGTGACGTAAAAGGTTACTAGAAGTCAGAAAACAGCAAGAATTGTTATAGAACAGTTTAATCTGTTCTCAGAGACAGAGAGAGTTTTGTTTTGGCGAGTTTGGAGAACAGGTGCCAACTTCTCTGTTGACGTCTGAGAGGATGTAAACAAGACAGTTGTTCCAACACATGTCTGCTTCGACTCCTGACCTTGGAAAACGCACACTTGCTCATTCAAAGACAGAAATCAGAAAATGCATAAAAATCTGTAACAGACCTTAACATGAATTCTAACTCTGCATAAGCATTAAAAATCATTACACTGTTTCACAGTTAATAAAATTGATTAGTTCACTGCAACATCTAAAATGGTTTGAACTAAGACACTTTGATTATCAACATTTGTAAAATAGTAATGATAATAAAAAGAGAGTGTTCTTTCACTTGATCTTCAAGAAGGAAAGTCTCAGGATGGGTGAACCTGTATTTCTGGATTCAAATCAATGAAATGACAGTTTCTGTCCCACAAGGTTCTTAAGGTCAAGGGTTTTGACCTTAGGCTTAGTTTTGACATCAGGTCAAGTTCACTACATATTTGCACTCATTGTGTCTACTTTTAATGTTCATTTTAAATGTGTGGTTTTCTTTCTTGTTCACATATAAACATTTTATTTTTAGCTTTGCTTTAAAGTTCTTGTTTTGTGATTTGTACATTTGTGAGTTAAAATAAAGTTGAACTGAAGGTCGTCTCTTTTCTTTAAACATGTTTGACGGAAATATTCCTGAGATCCAATAGTTTTGTGTCTTTTTATGATTTTCAGCTGAGTTAACAGCCATTAAAGTGAAAACAGGATTTCATGATGAAGCTGGCACCGTCTTTTTTTTTTTTTTTAAATCTTCAACGCTCTGCTGGTCTCGCACGACACTGCCCGCAGTCACACGATCCTCTCCTCCGGAGAGTAGGAAGCTGGGAGACTCATCCTCCCAGCTCCAGCTCAGCTGGTGACTCACAGAGGCTGTTCCAAGGCTCCAGCCGCGCGTAATCATGAAGGTCCGACCCGCGCAGACAGGCGGGCAGAGACGGGTCTGCGACGAACGGTGGAAGCGATTTTAAAAAACCTTTTACGTGTAAAAAAAAAAATAAAAATCATTTTTAAATCGCTTCAGCATTTTTTTAAAACATTTTTTGTATAAAAACAAAATATTATTTTATTTAAAAATCGCTTCCAGCGTCCGTCCCAGACTGTCCAGTCCGCCTGGCTGCCGGGCGGGATCGGGATTCAGCCTTCATGTTTACGCGCGGCCGGGGTCTCGCAACGGCCATCTGTGAGTCCCCATCTCCAGATTCGCAGTGACCTGCGGAGCTCTGAGCACACAAGGCTGGTATCTGGAACCCGAGCCTCCGAGTCGGCACATCGAAGGATCTTCCGCGGTGACCAGCTGAACTTGGAGCCGGGGAGATGACGCCCTGCCCGGTCTGGCGCTCCGAGGCTCCGGAGGGAGGATCGGGTACACCAGCAGAGCTCCATTCAGCTTGCTCTGAATTATGTTGTCGGCCACCAAGCACAAAAAATGCCAGCACATCAACATTAGACCAAGATGTTGTCAGTATTGTTTTTAAAATCTTTAAAATAAGTCCAGCCGCTGCTCCAGTCCGAGAAATTGCAAATGGCGGATTATTGTTTTGAAACGTTTCTGAAGGATCCAGTGACTCCGCCCCCGACCAATCAGTGACCGACAGTGTACTGACGTCACGTTTTTGTACCTCTTCGTACCGGTTAGAACCACAGAGCCAAGGGTACTGAAAATAGTAACAGGTGCTAAGTACCGGTACTAATGGAAAAGCCTCAGAACCGGGCCAAGTAGGGTCGAGTCGGCCCGTACCGGTACTAATGGAAAAGGGGCATTAGTATATCTTGTTCCATGTCTTCATTTTAATGCTGTTGTTTTAATTTTTTAAGGTATATTCTTACTGCTTTTTATTTCTCAGTGTTACCCTTAGTGTTAAGCACTTTGATAACAGTCTATCTGTTTTAAATTGTGCTCTATAAATAAATATGACTCGACTTGACTGAAACAGATTTCATAAAAAAGTCTGAACTTTAAGAAATTGAAAAAAATTCTATGCACTGCTATAGGGAAAATATAAAAGTTACAGCATCCAAAAGTCATATTACCCGTCTCCATTAAGAGCTGAATGTTTTGATATATGAACAGCTAAAACAGCACAAAGTATTCAGAGGTAGAGACGTTACAAATAATGCTGAATGACCATTAGACGATAAAGTCAGGAGTGTAAGCACACAGCATCACTCGTGTGATTTATGTGAACGCAGAGATGTTTAATCATGTTTTACCATCAGGTTGAAGATCAGCGCGGAGTCCACAGCGATGGCCTTCAGTAACACTGGAGTGTCTGTGTCCTTGGCTTTATATCTCAGGCTGTACAGCTCCTTGTTGCTGTTCCAGTCAGCAGGCAGCAGCTCTGACTTCTTGTCACTGCTGCGAGGCTGCAAGAAAAGGTTTGGACAAGACAAAAAGCAGAAAAATGATCAAAGTCTGAGAGCACAAAGAAAAAGCTGCATTTTAACAACAACTCTGGCTTAACTGAGGTGCTTAAATGCGACAGACCCCACAGAGAATTCAGCCTGCTAAAGATGACTTGACACTTTTTATTTTGGATCTTTAATTTAAACCAACACTGTGCTGATTTTAAATAAAATAAATGACATGAAAACAGTTCCAGTCTGCTCCAGCTAACAAAATCAACTATACTCGAGAAAAAAAAGGCTAATTTAGGAAGCTAGTCTAAAATAGAGCAAGTGTACAGAATTCCATTGGAAAAAATATTGTTTTATTTCTCCTTGAGTTGCACAAGTCAGTTCTATCTGAAACACCAACTTAGTGTCAATTTTCTGAATACTTTCAATATGCTCCTCCATTCGGCATACATCTTGTTTGCTATAAACTTTGCATAAAAGGACTAAACGTTATAACTCTTCAACTGGGTCAGAAGAATAGGAAGAAGTCATAAATCGCCAAAAAGCAAAATAATTACGAAATCCCAAACAGCTCGGTTTGGGATTTCGATTATCGTTCATCCCACGTATTTATGTCTATGTTTCATTTGTGAGGTTTTTTTTTTTCGTAACGTCTAATTTAGCTAAAATGTCGCTGGTTTAAATTGACTCACTTCGTCTCCAGATCCGATGCACCTGTACTCATTCTTTATCATTTCCCAGTGAACGAAGCACACGACAGCGTCCTGAGGGCAGCTAATGCTATCTGCGACACAGGTGTACAACACCTCCAAACCTGCCATGTTTCTTCTCTGTACTGAAAACAACACAGCGTCCAAACGAAGAAAAGAAAACGAAAGTCTTTACGGAAGTTTCATGGCAACAGCAGCGACTTCCGGTCTGGGTAGTTCAAAATAAAAGGGCTAAAACGCTAATTTAGACGCGAACGTAAACACTCGGTAAAAACCTATTTAAAGCAACATATATTTAATTTAGAATGTGACTTTTAAACACTCGTAAATTTCAAGAATATTAATATAAGATGAGGTTTTATATATTTTAAATAATACAATGTTTTAACAGTTTTAAAGAGCCGCGGTAGCATTGATATTATTCTGTAAACTTTGATTATTTTTGTAATTAAGCCTTAGTTTGTAAAAAATAAAAAAGAGAATGATGAAACTAATATTAACCCAAATTTATTTTGAGAAAAACATCATGCGCAGAAGTACTTGCTTGAATTTTCCAACTTAACAGTTTTGTTTTGATCCGACACAAAGTGTGTTCGACTAAAAACATGTCTGAGATATTCTGTTCCGCTTTAACTAAATCGCTCTTATTTAATAATAATTTAAAAAAAGAAATATTGATAATGATACATCAAAGTTAAAATTCTGATTAAATTAGTAAGTGCACTGTGAAAATCATTTGTACTCATGAAAGCCCATTTCCACTACACTGACGTAAAAAACTAAATCCTCAATCATGAAAACGAGAGACTCAAAATTATAACTTGGCATCTTATAATTATAACAGCATTTTTTCATCATCATTATTATTTTTTTCATTCATTTAACCTTTATTTATACAGATTAATCCCATTGAGCCTCGGGGACTTATTTACAAAAGAGACCTGATTTTAACAGAGTGATGACAACAGTAGACAACAATACACAACAATAGACAATCATAAAGGATGTGTACAAATTGAGATTTTTTTTTAACAAGTGAAAATAAAATGGTATTTAAAAGGAAATTTAACAACAAAAAAAACAATCAGCTGGGTTGTAGGGCGGTGTAAAAATTAAAAACAAAAACATTATTACATCCATTCATCCATCTTCTTCCACTTATCCAGGGTCAGGTCGCAGGGGGTAGCAGCCTAAGGCCCAGACTTCCCTCTCCCCATTCACTTGGGCCAGCTTCTCCAAGGGAATCCCAAAGTGTTCCCAGGCCAACTGAGAAACATAAATCCTCCAGCATGTCCTGGGTCTTCCTCTGGGTCTCCTCCCAGTGGGACGTGTCTGGAACACCTCACCAGGGAGGTGTCCAGGAGGCATCCTAACCAGATGCCCGAGCCGCCTCAACTGGCTCCTCTCGACGTGGAGAAGCAGCGACTCTACTCTGAGTCCCTCCCGGATGGCCGAGCTTCTCACCTTATCTCTAAAGGAGAGCTCAAAATAAAGGCTATGAATAAATAAATAAAACTCATAATAATAGCTCATAATAGTTTGGCATCTCAGAATCATTAGGTACTAAGTCATAGTTGTGAGATGACAAATAATAATTTAGATAGTAAAATAAGATACATGTAGTGTCTTATGTTTGTGCTGCTGTTCAGCGTATTGTTTTAATACTACTAGTGCTTAGTGTATTTTTAGTTAACGTTTTTCTTAGCTCATATCTTAGATCTTATTACTGTTTTTCTTTTACACTTTATACTTTTGTTGGATGTCACTAGGACCATGTGTACATAAGAACCTTGAATCCTTGACTAAATCGAATATAATAATAATAATAATAATAATAATATTAATAATAAAACATATCGAACGGTATTTGTTATAAATGAAGTACTGTACTCATAAATTTATCATATTTTTCCGATAACAAACTTCATTTCCCATGATGCCCCGCGCCGGTAGGGTGGAGAGCGCTTCCTCGTGAAGATGGCGGCTCCCTTGACTCTACTTCTGATTGTAGCCGTAACAATCCGTGCGGTTCTGTACCGATCCAGTTTAGCGGAGCTGATTGCGGAGCGGGTGGAGGTGGTGTCTCCTATAACCGCCTGGAAGCGAGGTATGTTGGGGTTGGAGCCGGGCTCCGGAGTCCGGTCCTCGGGGTAAGAAAACTGGTCGGTCCCTTCTTCCTGCTGCCGCTCGGGCACCACGGCATCAAGTCGAACCGGTTCGGGTACAAAGGCTGTAGCCTAAATCTGCGTTAAAAGGGTCTAAATTAACGCAGAAAATAAATTATTCCAGTTTTTTTAAAAACCTTAAAGCGGTTCATTCAAGTTTTATTTAAATTATTGAGTTTTTAAGAATGCTCTGATTGTGTTTCTGTGGCTCAAAGATGCAAAAGAGTCTTTATGGTTTTATCTGTAACTCTGACTTCATTTACTCTCACTGTAACAAAAAATACAACTCAGGAAGCATCAAAAGAAAAACAAAAGTAATTTATGTCTTTTCAGAGCTGAATGTTTTAAATAGATAAAAATGTTAGTTCTCTTTGCACCTAACAGATTTGGTTTTCTTCAGAATTTTCAAACTGTTCTTAAAGTGGTCCAGATGAAACGATTTAACTTTCTTTTGTTCTTAAACCTTTAATTTATCATCTTCTAAAGAAACATTTCAAAGCATAAAAACAAATGCAACACTTATTTGACATATAATCTTTCTACATTCATTGTAAATTGACTTTGCTTTCATGTTTATCCTCATAAAATTAATTTTTTTTGTGACAATATTGATGCTTCTTGTGTGTTGCTCCAGTACAAACAAACACAGATAGATTTATTGATACAATTTGGTTTGCCTCTTTTCCATCACCTACACTATCGGTCTAATCAACCTGGGGTCGCACTCCCCCTTGCGTCCACATCCTGGGAGCGTATCTACTGTCCTACGACTCCAATACCTTTAAACAATATTGGCAGCTGTGGTCAGAAGAACATGAAGCTGCTTGGGATGGTCTTGTGGCCTTTTTCTTGAACGTTATGGATTTCTCTGCTCCGTGTTTATCGTGGTGCTCACATTAATGCTGAAATACGTGGCTGAATGTTTCCTTTAAAAAGGCTGAACGGCTAAAAGCGTACCTTGTTGCACACAAAAGGCATGCAAATATACAATGCACGAGTGCTCCTGACTGAGGAAGTGTTGTTTCAACGAGCGGTAAAGGAACCAACAGTTGGCCTGTCACAATAAATAAATCAATGAAATGTTCATGCATGATCAATTAAAATTATCAACCTCATTTTCATTTATCGGCTTTATCGTTTCTTCGTGTCTCTCTCTTTCTACTGAAGACACTGGATGACAAAATGCTCAACTCTGGTGCTCTTCACTGACCCCTCCCTTTCTCTTTAAAATCCTTTTTAACCGTCCAAAATCGTGTTTTTGGACGGTTAAAAGCAGCTAAGCTGAGAAGCTAACAGGCCGACCTCGGGAAAAAAACTCCATTTTGTCGAAGCTCCAAAATCCATGGTTGAAACCCGTGCCTTTGTGTAAAAAGTTGTAAACCTCACCAAGTGTCCGCCATTTTGAGAACTGAAAAACACGAACGAGAGACAACCCATGTCACGTCAAGTGGCCTTCCTCCCATTTTCTTAAAGAGACACGCTGCTCCCTCCCTCACTATCCATCGTTCGGTTCACACAGTCTTATACTGCCATCCGGTGGTCGATAAAAGGTACTGTGCACAAAAATTAACCAACATTTCTTCTTAAATTTGACATTACTAATTATTGTCAAATTTCAAACAATATTATCGTTTATCGCAATAATTTCTGAGACGATTAATCGCCCAGTAAAATTTGTTATCGTGACAGGCCTAACCAACAGGTTTGTCATCGTCTGTATCAAGTCATAACTTTGGTGAATGATAAGGGTTAAAACTGGAGGATAAAACCGTCTTTGTGTGACTTTGTGTTGCAGTTGTTGAAGGCTTGGCCCTGCTTGACCTGGGAGTTTCACCGTACGCTGGTGATGTGTTCCACGAGGTGAAAAAACCTTCTTGTTTCTTGAACGTATCGATAAATATTACAGTTTAGAAACGTTTCAAACTCACAAGCTTCTGTTATGAAGGTGAAATGTTTAAGGTTTAGTTCTACTTTAGATCAGCAGCATTGATGAGGTTTGAGTTGCATGTTTTATTGAAGCGAGAGGATGATTTACCGTGTGAACGAGCAGAGAGTTCAGCTTTGGCTGTGAATCTCATCAAATCACCAAATCTTGTTTTTTTTTCTCCAGACGCCACTCGTCATTTATCTCTTCCACTTTTTGGTGGATTATGCAGAAATCACATTTATGGTGAGAAAAAAAAACTGCCCCAAAAATCTTGCTTTACAGTGTGTGACCCCAAGTGAGCATTAATAAAAGTTTCTACTTTTTTTTAAAAAGAGCATTTTTGCTGTGATTCTTACTGTTCCTGTCTGTTTAGCTGGCAGACGTGATCACTGCTGTTGCTCTTTACCTTGCTGTGAAGGACTACAACAAACAAGTGGTAAGAAAGCAAAATGTTCTGAGAATATAAACAAATGTGTTTGACATAAAGTTAAAACTTTGTGTCTCAATTAAATATGAAAGCTATGTCGTATATTTATCTGTAAATGTGTAATTTATTCTACGCACACACGTGTTCATGTCCTAGTAACAACGATGGAGCATTGCGACCTGCGTTCTTCCATGTTTTTCAGTTCAGAAAACAGAAGTTTGCCCTGGAGGCAGATCGTTACCCTCACGACTGTCTGGAGCTCATCAGAAGCCCCAAAGAAATGTTTTACATCCCTCTGAAAGTCGCCATGTTGTAAGTACCAGCAGCCCGTTCACATGGACTTTAACCGTTTAGTCAAGTTGTTTTTTTAGAGGTTAACTGATGCTCAGGCCGGCGGCACGGTGGATCAGTTGGTAGAGCTGTTGCCTCTCAGCGAGAAGGTCGCTGCATCGAATACATCGCTTTGCCTTTAGTTTCACAATACAGGAATTCACTGAATCTGAAGTGCCCCCCCCCCCCCAATCCGTCAAGAACAACGTCTGACTTGTAGTATTCTTATTTTACAGTCACTAACTATAACCAGAACATGAACGCTAAACAGAAAACAACAAGAGGGTCAACCCATCTGAACACATTACATGAAGAAGTCCACCCATTTCTGTCCCAAGATTACCCAGAAGGCCTTGCAGCTCACACAGTCTTTTGCTTTCTAGGTTCACGGTGACTTTATTGTCAATCACATCACATGTGCTACATGAGGTGGAACAATATTGTGTACTCAAGATCCTAGTTACACACCAAAATAGCAATAATATAATATAAAGTATATTAAAAAAAGATGAAACGGTATACAAGGATCTAAGATCTACACTAAATGATAATATAATATAATATGTGTATTAAACAGCAGCCTGAACATGAGTCTGTTGTGAGCAGATGGTATGAATACAGGAGCTTATGGGTAAGAAATCAGCAGCACGGGTTAAGTGTCAAATGTCCAATTAAAGTGGCATTACAGTAATTTGTCTGGTTAGGGATACATGTACTTTAATAATGTGATAATAATGTAATTTATATACATAAATTACATATAATTTAAATCATTCAGACTAAAGTTTAACAGTAACCCACAGAGCTTATTGTTTCTGTAAAACGTTGTCATGTAATGAAACCTAAATACAACTGTAATACTAAAATGTATTTGTATATGTATACCTTTATTTTCAAAACAACTATGATTTATGTGGATTTTTGAATTCACATGTTGCAAGTGAAAAAATCACAAATCTTTAAATAGTCAAAAAAAAAAAACGCCTCGCAGGGCCTTCCCGAAGGCTCAGAGCCTCATATTTTGGTCCGACCCACTCTACATCAACATAACGAGTGGTTAATTTTCCAGTCAGTTACTACACATCCTGGAGAGACTTCCTCTGAGCTTAGCCTTCTCTGCAGACAGTGAAGGCCTAACCAAAGAGTGCTCCTTCAAACATGTTTCTGCCCAGAGGCAAAAACTTAAAATCTGATTTCATTTTCTTCACTTAAAAAGTTTCTAGCTGAACCGCAAAGTAGTTTACAGACAATAAGAGAAATTAGCAATAAATAAGAAAAACTACATTGAAAATGTGCATATTTTAAATAAAATAAATATTAAATAGATTTAAATGTAACGTTTCATAGGCGTTGATTTCTTAGGCCTTCTCTGAAGGTGTAGAAGGCCCACTGAGTGACACGTTGTCTTCTCTCACAGTTACCTGCTGAACCCGTTCACCATCTTGTCCTGCGTGGCCAAGTCGACCTGCGGCTTGAACAACGCCGTCGTCTCCCTCTTCATCCTCGCAACAATAAAAGGTGGCCTTCAAACCAGCGTTCCACTCTGTTAACGTTTGTTTCTGAAGCTTCACTGCACGTTTAATAAAAACTGTTTGCAGGCACAGCTTTGATTCTAAAGACGTTTATTGAATTTGTCTGGATTAAATACTGTTTTTTATTCTTAAACTGCTGTTACTGGTTTTATTTCTAAATTCTGCGTTTGTGTTTCAGGAAACGTCCTGCTGAGTGCCGTGTTTCTGTGTTTGGCCACTTATCAGTCCATATATCCCCTCACACTGTGCGCTCCAGCCATGCTGTATTTGATGCAGGTGTGTTGTGCAACCCCGGTCCAGGAAACGTGTGCATGTTGAGCAAAATGTAAATAAAAACAGAATGCAATCAGTTGAAAACCTCATAAACCCATATTTTATTCACAGTGGAACATAGTAAGATGTTAAATGTAAGAAATGGTCTAAAACATGGGGGGAGGGGTACTTTAATGGCATCAGCAACTCAGGCCACGTTTCCTACTGTGAAGCTTCCCCCTTTTTCTTTTAACAACCTGTAATAATCTGTAAACATCTAAGAACTGAGGAGATTAGCTGCTGAAGCTTTTGAGGAAATGTTCTGGTGGGATGGAGGAGTCTAGCTGTTCAACGGTCCTTGAGCTTTTTTTGCTGGATAGGCCCATTCTCTCTAAATCTGTATACACTTTTCTGCATTGATGGTCCTTTTCTGGAAGCTATCCATGCCGGAGTCACTGATGCACCCCTATACCATCAGAGAGGCAGGTTTTGGAACGGTGTGCTGATGATAACAACAGGCAGGACGGTCCTCGAAGGACTTGGATCATCATTTGGATCTGTCTGACCCACAGAGCAGGGCTCCACTTTGCCTCAGTCCGGTTTAAAGCGGCTCTGGTCCAGAGAACCCAGCAGAGTTTCTGGGTGGCTTCTTCTGTGCATGATAGAGCTTCAAGCAGCATTTGTTGCTGGCACAGTGAACATTTTCTGTTGAGCACCCTTATTCTTAGACTGTTCCACCATTTTAGACAGTTTGTCACAGACTGATGAACCCCTGCCCATCTTTTCTTCTAGTCTTTTGATGCTAATATGGCCTGAAGACGATGGGAGATTATAAGAGTTCCTCCTTTCTGGCTGAGGAACATTATTCTGAAAGGGTTTCACTGTTTTTCAAACTGTTTTCTTTCAGTTTTTCATCTTTATTTCTTAGAGGTTCAGCCTCTCTAAAATGTTTTATTTATAAATATATCCCGTCCTCTTATGTTGACAATTAACCTCATCAGTTGCAAAATTCTCCTCCAGCTGTTTCTTATTCAGAACAATTATTTTTACAGCCCCTGGTCCAACCTGTTGAACGTGTTGCTGCCATAAAATCCAAAACATTTGAAGTGTTTACTGTGATTAATTAAGAATAAAAGAGATTTGCAAGTTGTTTGCATTATTTAAATTGTATGCATCATCCCAGCTTTTTCTGAATTAGGCTTGTTTATAAGCTTAAACTTATATTAAGACAGTGATGATTTTAAGTTGCTATTCTTCCTCTTTTTCTCAGTTTGATGCCGTTTCATGTTTTTCTTCTCCCGTAGCGTCAGTACGTCCCGGTGAACGTTAGACGGGCCAGCTTCTGGTGGTTTGTCGTGCAGTATCTCTTCATGTACCTCGGCAGCCTGCTCGTCCTCATCTGCCTCTCTTTCTTCCTGCTCGGCTCCTGGGACTACATGCCCTCCGTTTATGGCTTCATGTGAGTGGAGAAATAAAAGCTCAAACTGTTCATTACTGATTTTCCTGCTTGTTTGTAGCTCTGGGCAAGTTTGTGTTTAAAACCAAATGTTGGCTGATTTAAAAATTCAAACGTCTGTCTGCAGAACCTCACTGTGATGGTTTGTGTTTCTGTCCCGTCAGTCTTTCAGTCCCGGACCTGACTCCGAACATCGGCCTCTTCTGGTACTTCTTTGCTGAGATGTTTGAGCATTTCCGCCTGTTCTTCCTCTGCGTTTTCCAGATCAATGTTTTCTTTTACACCATCCCTCTGTCCATCAAACTCAAGTAAGTCCTCCACCTCACCCTCACTCCAGTCGAGCGCCGCACGTTAAAACAACAGCTGCGTTCTCCTTCATCCTAATCCTCCGGTGTGTTTGTGCGCACGCTGCAGGGAGCACCCCGTGTTTCTGATGTTCATGCAGTTAGCGGTGATCTCCATCTTTAAGTCTTACCCCACCGTGGGAGACACCGCCCTCTACCTGGCCTTCCTTCCTGCTTGGGCTCACCTGTCCAGATGTAAGTGGGTATAAACCAAAATGCAAATTTTCAATAAATTCTTATAATTTTATTTAATTGTTGTTGTTGGATAAATAAAAATCCTTTCATCGTCATTAAATCAAATAAGCCGCTCTGAGGACACGAGAAGATGTTTTTAACCGGTCTTTAATTGCAAGGCTAAGGGGAGTTGTGACGCAGAGTTTAGAGAAGGTGGGCCTGTGATCGGAAGATCGCCGGTTCAATTCCCAGTACCGATGACATCAAAATGTGGGTGGGATAGGTGAAGCAAAACCATAAACCCCCACCATCTGCTCCATTGGGCACCCTAGATGTCAGCTCTCTGCTCCACAGAGGGCTGTGGTAGCTCAGTGGTCTGTGGTTGCGTCAGGAAAACAATTGCCCAGTGTTCGTGCGAGTTAGTTCGCTGTGGTGACCCCTGAAGAAGGGAGCAGCTGAAAGAAGAAGAAAAAACCTTGTAAGGGTAGACTCTGTCTCAGATTCAGTTTATCGTTGTCATTGTCAATGAACAGGATTCACAGACTAGGAACTTGCTTCGGCATAAAGGTGCGAATAAAACATAAAAGATAAAAGGAAACATATGTACACCAACCAATACAATACAATATTCAGAAAAAATGTGCAAATGGAGTAGTGCAGTTAAAATACAGTGATAACGTGACCAAAGCAGAGTTATACAGTAACAGATTATGAATGTTCAAGAGTCTGATGGCAGAGGAGAAGAAACTGTTCTTATGGCGGGAGGTTCTGGTCCGAATGGACCGAAGCTTCCTGCCTGAGGGGAGTGGTTCAAAGAGTTCATATGCAGGGTGAGAAGGGTCAGCTGTAATCCGACCTTCTCGCCCCACAGTCCTGGAGACGTACAGGTCATGGATAGACGGGAGGCTAGAGCCGATTACCTTCTCCGCAGAGCGCACAATGCGCTGATGTCTGTCTGTTCCTGGCAGTGGCCCCGGCGTACCACACTGATGGAAGAGCAGAGGATGGACTCGATGATGGCTGTGTAGAACTGCACCATCAGCTTGGCTTTCCTCAGCTGTCGCAGGAAGTACATCCTCTGCTGAGCCTTCTTGATGAGGGAGCTGATGTTCTGTTCCCACTTGAGGTCCTGGGTGATGGTGGTGCCGAGAACCCGATAACAGTCCACAATGATGATTGGGGTGTCGTTAAGGGCGAGGGGGGGCAGAGGGGCTGTGGCTTTCCTGAAATCCACAATCATCTCCACTGTCTTCTGGGCATTAAGCTCCAGGTTGTTGTTGCTGCACCAGGTCACCAGCCGGTCCACCTCCCTCCTGTAGGCAGACTCACGATAAGGCCTTCACAGATGCTTAAAGTTACACGCTTAGAGCCTCGTCAGTGAGAATCTGTGCCGGACAGTGAGGCAGGAAGTGTTTTATGATGCTCATCAGACAGTCACTGGTGACCTCGGTGTGCCAGCTGTACACGCAGCCTCAACTCAGCTCCTCTCTGATCAAACACTCTGACCAACATTAACAGTTAGTGATAAACATCCATAAACCTTTGCCTAAATTCCCCTGACAATTATAATTTCTATAAACAATAAACTGATTTCTAACAAGACAATTCTGAAGCCAAGTTTTCATTTTCTGGGTTTTCTTCTCGTTCAGTCTTGAGGAACATCTTCCTGGTGTCCTGCGTCCTGCTGGCCTGTTCGGCTCTGTTTCCCGTTCTGTGGCACCTCTGGATCTACGCCGGCAGCGCCAACTCCAACTTCTACTACGCCATAACGCTGCTGTTCAACGTGGCGCAGGTAGGGCCGTCCGGGGGTGCGCAGATTAGAGATTAGATGCGCTGAATTGCCAGGATATTCCCGTCGATAACCTCTGACCAGTTCCTGATTATTTCCTGTCAGATCCTGCTGGTGTCGGATTATTTCTACGCCTTCCTGAGGAGAGAACACCACCTCACCAGTGGACTTTATCTGAAGAAGAAGGACGGCTCCGAGGCCACGTTGGTACTGAAATAAAACACAACCTCCCCAGGGAAGAGCAAACTACTGAAACTCTCCTGAAAGAGAACAAACTGAGAACAATAAAAGACTTGAGAGCTGCGCAGACACAACCAAAGCACACATGCAGAACGTGTGCACGGTACAACTTCACATGTGGACATCAGAACAGCTGCTTCTCTACTGGGGCACTCTTAATCTGAAGCATCCTGGAATTTAGCCCCCTAATCTGGGCTTTTCTTTTGAAAGTCTCTTTTTTTCATCACCGACTTTAGAAGAGTTTTATTTTGTTTATCATGTAGGGCTGGGTTTTATTTTGAAAATCCAACTCATACAGAGGAAAATGTTGCAGTGGTGTACTTTTATTTTGAAGCCCTGTTCCTTAAACAATAAAAATGTAGGAAAACGGTTGAATCTCACGTACATTTAGTCGTTTCTGATCCCTGCTCACCTTGAAGTTGTTTTATTTCATGTTTGTGTTAAAACTGGTATTTTATGCTTAGATAAGAGAAAAACTGATTTTGATTTTTACGGTTCAGTAACAGTTTTTCTTTAATTACTGAACTCCAGCTTGTCGGTGCTTGCAAGTTAAAACCAGATTAAACTAAAGGCCTAGCCTTCCTAGAAGGAATGCATATCGCCCGCTGCCTTTTATAACGATGGTCTTATGTGGAAAAACCACAAAGTTGGAGCTGATTTGGTCAAACCTGGAAAATAACATTCAACACCATCCTGTGACACCTTCAGGGATCTGTTAGCCTTTAGAGTATGTGTCATGCATGACTCTCAGCTACTACCACACCAAACTTTAGCTCAAAATCTGTAAGAATCACTGAGATAAAGCCATGTGGCGGCCATCTTGAATATGGTCGACTCCAAAGCTTAATCACTTCTAGATGTGCATCTAACGATTACTTTCTGAGTTTCCATTAAACTTCTTCCAATTGTTTATGAGATGTTTTGCTAACAGTACAGTTTGTCCCTCCACCTTCTTGTTTGGCGGTGGGCAATAATCATGGTGCGCAACACAACCTGGAATGTTGATCGTTCAAGCTGCCTGAAAAAAATCTGATAAATACACTTTTAGGCCTAATCTACATTTACACAAACGTTTTTCACCAATGTTGCTTTTTCTAACTGTTTTTGAAATTTTAGGAAAGTTAAATTATGGTCTAAATATTCAGAAAGACTTAGAAATGACTGCAGAATTTAATGTTCATGTCGTCATTGTGAGCGCACGTGTGTGTTCAGGTGTGGACTCACTGGTGAAACGATGCCAGAAATATTTAGATTAAAATGGTTTTGACTTAAGCTGTTGTTTTTAGAAAAAACGTTTGTGAATTAGGCCTCAGGTTTTTGATTTAGAAGCTGATCAACAGAGAGGAGATCAGACCGATGAATGTATTTAAACCTGAAATACTCAACAGCTGATCACAGAAGAAACTGATTTTTTTTTTTTTGTTTTGGACTAAGTTGAAGTTTCCCTGAAGAGTTTTTCTGTTTTTCACTCCAACAAATGTTCTAATTATTGGACAGACTCTGTTGTTTACTCTTTTGCCTCAAATAATCCCAATGAATATGCATTTTAGTGTTCACAATTAACCCTGTCATATGCATGCAGAATGAGACTAATCTAAAGGAACTACTTTAACATTTGAGGATTTTGTGCGTTAGATGATGGTGAAATGTAAATGTGGACATAAATGTGAAGCTTCATTCAGAGCCGGTTTGTTTGGCATAAACGAAATGATCAGATATACAAATGCATCGCAGTAAAACCAGATGTTTGTTTATATTTTATTTAAAAATCACAACAGATCCAGGTTGATCAGTTTCTGTTTGCCCCAACCTGAAAACAGCATTAAATCTGATCAAATTTTGACACATTTAATGTTTTTTATTCCACTTGCAGCATTTCCTAAATCCAATCTACGCACTTTTGTTATTCTGTACGGTATTTACTACAAACTAAACTTTATATTCATCCTCCTGGTGTTAGTATAAACATATTTTTACATTTTGTACTAACAAGAAATGGTTTAATAACTTCAGCTTTTTACAGTCAGCTACAGATTCCAGTTTAAAACTGACAAGAATGAAGTGTGCCTAAAAACATGGTGTGTTTTAGAAACAAATACTGATGATGATACTGATTACATCTTTTTCTTGATATATTTAATTTCCCAGATAAATAAGAACACGGGTTTTATTTGCACGTATCAGAGTCAAAAGTAAAAATAACGATTACTGCTCGGTCAGATAAAAATGTATTTAAACAGCAGAGGGTCCATCAGACATTTTAAAAATAAAGGGAAACAATTGATATTTGCTTTTCTAAAGAGGTTTAAATTTTTGTTATAATTTCTTGGACACATTCTTATTGATATTGTTTTGCATTTTGTTTAATATTCAGGTATGAAGCTGTCAAATATTAGAAAAATAAACCTTAGATGCTGGTTTAGAGTTGTTTGATTTATTTTCACGTTTATGAGTTTAGCTTCTGTCATAGTAAATTGAACTCTACACTTTTCAAACACAAAGTAAAGTCAGAATAAATTTGATTATAAGATGTGACTTTACTCAAAAAACACCTTTTGCGTACAATAAATACAGAAATAAATTTATTATTAACTTCTTCCTACTGTTCTGCTCATGTTAGCTGTTATTGTTTTACTAATTTTAGTTTTTAGCTACTACAGTATTCTGCTGGTTATAGCTTTTTGTTTAGCTAATTTTAGCTTTTACTTATTTTAACATTTATGCTAATACTTGTCAGAGAAGGCGAGCCTATGGGGAGGTTGCAGGTTTGATTCCCCAGGCCCTTAACATCAAAATTTGGGTGGGACCAGTGAAGCACATATATTTGCATCCACCCCCATTTGTTCCACTGTGGGCCCTTGAGCAAGGCAGCCCTCTGCTCCACATTGAAGTTTAAGAAGAGGGATTTTGTGCTGGGAGTGGGTGAAGTTTCATTTTGCATTTAGAGAATAAGTGTTTTAACATGACTGTGCCTGTGGAGTGGCAGATTAAATTAAAGTGTTGCCTCCAATAGTTTTCCAGATTTATTGATATCCAGATCTAAAATGTTGGTACAACCTGCATTAGGCTGGCTGTAGTCCGTAGGTAAACAAATATGGAGACAAGTGTAGAATCTCAGTAAATGTTTGGGTGGAAATCTGAGTAAATCTGCTGTTAAACATGAAACAACTGTCAAGAGTAAATATCAGGGATGAAAAAGGGGGGGCAGAGCGCCATAAAAACAGAGCTCTGAATTAAAACGCAGCTTTTCCAAAACTTGAGGATTGTGTCCTTAGTGTGCCTTCCTCTTGTGGTCAGTCCCAGCTCCTGCGCTCCCACCTGCTCCTGATTGTCTTTCCACAGGTGTTTGTCATCGTCTGACGTTAGTGTGTGTCTGTGGTGTTCGTTGTCTGGGTGGGTGAAGTCTTGTGTGACATTATGGTGCCGTCTTCCTCCATGTCATTTCTGTGTCTATGTAAGTTTGCTGCACATCAGCTTTTGTTTTTTCTTTATTAAACATACAAACCGGATTCCAAAAACAATTGGGACACTAAACAAATTGTGAATAAAACCTGAATGCAATGATGTGGAGGTGCCAACATCTAATATTTTATTCAGAATAAAACACAAATCACAGATCAAAAGTTTAAACTGAGAGAATGTATCATTTTAAGGGAAAAATCTGTTGTTTCCAAATTTCATGGCCTCAACAAATCCCAAAAAAGTTGGGACAAGTCCATTTTTACCACTGTGTGGCATCCCCCCTTCTTCTTACAACACTCAACAGACGTCTGGGGACAGAGGAGACCAGTTTCTCAAGTTTAGAAATAGGAATGCTCTCCCATTCATGTCTAATACAGGCCTCTAACTGTTCAATTGTCTTGGGCCTTCTTTGTCACACCTTCCTCTTTATGATGCGCCAAATGTTCTCTATAGGTGAAAGATCTGGACTGCAGGCTGGCCCTTTCAGTACCCGGATCCTTCTCCTACGTAGCCATGATGTTGTGATTGCTGCAGAATGTGGTCTGGCATTATCGTGTTGAAAAATGCAGGGTCTTCCCTGAAAGAGATGACGTCTAGATGGGAGCATATGTTGTTCTAGAACCTGAACATAGTTCTCTGCATTAATGGTGCCTTTCCAGACATGCAAACTGCCCATGCCACAAGCGCTCATGCAACCCCATACCATCAGTGATGCAGGCTTCTGAACGGAGCGTTGATAACAACTTGGGCTATCCTTGTCCTTTCTGGTCCGGATGACTTGGTGTCCCAGTGTTCCATAAAGAACTTCAAATCGTGACTCATCTGACCACAGAACAGTCTTCCATTTTGCCACACTCCATTTTAAATGACCCCTGGCCCAGTGCAAACGTCTGAGCTTGTAGAGCTTGCTTAGAAATGGCTTCCTCTTTGCACTCTAGAGTTTCAGCTGGCAACGGCAGATGGCACGGTGGATTGTGTTCACTGACAATGCTTTCTGGAAGTATTCCTGAGCCCATTCTGTTATTTCCTTGACAGTGGCATTCCTGTTTGAGGTGCAGTGATGTTTAAGGGCCCGGAGATCACGAGCATCCAGTAGAGTTTTACGGCCTTGACCCTTACGCACAGCGATTGTTCCAGATTCTCTGAATCTTTTGATGATGTTATGCAAGGTTGATGATGATAACTTAAAAGTCTTTGCTATTTTACGCTGGGTAACACCATTCTGGTATCGCTGCACTATCTTTCTGCACAACAATGGTGGAATTGGTGATCCTCTGACCATCTTGGCTTCTGAGAGACACTGACACTCTGAGAAGCTCTTTTTATACCCAATCCTGTTGTCAATTGACCTAATTAGTGTTGATTGGTCTTCCAGCTGTTACTTATGTGCTCAATTTCCTTTTTCCAGCCACTTATTGCTACTTGTCCCATCTTTTTTGGGATTTGTTGACACTGTGAAATTTTGAATCAACATATTTTTCCTTTAAAATAATACGTTTACTCAGATTAAACTTTTGATTTGTCATCTATGTTATATTGCGAATAAAATATTGACATTTGCCATCTCCACATCATTGCATTCAGTTTTTATTCACAATTTGTTTAGTGTCCCAACTTTTTTAGAATCCGGTTTGTACTTCTCTACTTTAAATCCTGGGTTTTCCCGAGTCCTGCCTGCACATGGAGTTCTGGTATTTTAGTCTTGTGATTTATTATTTTCCACTGACGGAGGCAGGCTGGTGTCACAGATCAATGAGTCATGTGGATTTGTTTAAAGCAGCAAGTCCATGTGCTACCTGGACCTCATGAGATGTGACACCTTTCTTTCCAGAGTTTTTCTTTGAAATCAATCAACCAATCAACTTTATTGAGAACATGCAAACTCCACCCAGAAAGGCCCCCGGACCGGGATTTGAGCCAAGGACCTGCTCGCTGAGAGGCAGCAGCTCTACCAATTGCGCCACCGTGCTGCCAACGTGAAAAATTGAGTTTAAAAAATTGATTGGCTTCTGAACTACACATTTATTTACCAAATAGTGTAATTTTAAATTAGAGTGAACTCATGTGTCTTTAGGACTTGCCTTCAGTTAAACAGTTTTCTCTCCTGTGAAGGTTCTCGTGTGTTAGTCTAAGTTTTAGACTGTTAACCTCAGTCTAAAACTTTAACCTCACTGCAGGGAGCTTTGTTTCCTGTGGACTTTTGTGTGTCTGTTTAAACTAGTCTTATAACTAAATCTTTGTCCACAAATTTCACATTCAAATGGTTTCTGTCCTGTGTGGACTCTCACATGTGAGTTTAAATTAGTTTTGTGGCTAAACCTTTGTCCACAAATCTCACATTCAAATGGTTTATGTCCTATGTGGACTCTTAAGTGTGAATTTAAATTCGTCTTTTCACTAAATCTTTGACCACAAAGCTCGCATTCAAATGGTTTATGTCCTGTGTGGACTCTAATGTGTGAGTTCAAACTTGTCTTGTGGCTAAATTTTTGTCCACAATGTTCACATTCAAATGGTTTCTGTCCTGTGTGGATTCTCATGTGTGAGTTCAAAGATGTTTTATGACTAAATCTTTTTCCACAGTCACCACAAACAAAGGGTTTCTGTTCTGTGTGGACACTCATATGTCTGTTTAAATTAGTTTTCTTACTAAATCTATGACCACAAACCTCACAGTTAAATGGTTTCTGTCCCTTGTGGACTCTAATGTGCGAGTCTAAACTTGTCGTCCGGCTAAATTTTTGTCCACAAAACTCACATTTAAATGGCTTCTCTCCTGTGTGGACTCTCATGTGTGTTTTTAAATTTGTTTTTCTGTTAAATCTTTTCCCACATTCATCACAACTAAATGATTTTGGTCCTGTCTGAATTTTCCTGTGTGCCTCTACACTTTTCTTCTCTCTGACAGTTTTCTTATGACCTAAACAGCTTGAATATCCTCCTGTTGAATGAAATGTCAAGTGTCTCTGAAGAAATTGGTTGTGCAGAAATTGTTTGCCACACTCAGAGCAGCAGAAACATTTGTTGACAGAGTTTACAGCTGACTCAGGAGCTCTGCTCTCCTTCCAGTCTTTGTCACTGTCTTCAGTTGTTGACCCAGAGTCTGACAAGTGTTCCAGCTGAGAGTCAGGATTGTTCCCATCCTCGTCGTCTTCATCATCCTCACGGACTTCAGTTTCTGAAGAGCTGGAAGCATCTCCATGAAGATTTAGATCTGGGTTCCTGCTGGTTTCTGCTCCTCCACAGTCCTCCCCATTAGCTTCTACTTTCATCTGGTCAGCTGAGCTGCTGGTTGGAACATCTCCGTCCTCCATTTGGTGCTGATGAAGCTGTGAGAACAGAGGCTTCTCTTCATCATCCTCACTCTTCACATGAACAACAATGGATGAAAACCTGCTGGCATCAGTCTCCTCCTTCAAAATGAACTGCTCTCCCTCCAATTGGGTCCAGAGTTCCTCCTCTTCCTCCTTGATGTGGAGGGGCTCTGGGTCCTGCTGGTCCACATCAGACCTCCATTCCTCAGAAGCATCTACTGTGATCAGCAGAGTCTGCTGAACATCTGCAGGGGACAGTGAAACACAGACAATATAGACTGAATATCACATTTATTTCACACACACAGACATATCTATCTATCTATATATATATATATATATATATATATATATATATATATGCAGTGTTTCCCCTACCATTATACAAACGTGGCACACCACCCCATTAACAGAGCCCACCCCACTCGGCAGTTTTAGCTAACTGCCGTTGACTAAAATGCTAACGGCAGCCTCTTCCCTCATGCTGAACTCTCACGCTGACACGCACACCCCACTCAAAAACTGTCGGTATAAACAGGGCGCTGCGCAGCTCAGGACGTGTCTCAGTCCCCCCCCCCCCCCCAACTAAAATCACTGAATCACTGACGAGATGAGAGGCCCGCCATGGAAAGTTATTTAGGGGAAACACTGATAAACACTGATATATATTAGGTGTGTAACTGTACGCTAAAATAATATTTAGGTTTGGGTCAGTTTCAAGGAGGGCTCAATTCAGTTAACTTTCCGTACAAAAAAAGGCCAAAATAAAGACTTACAAAATGTTTATTTTAAAAGTAAACAATATGTTTGTATAAAAAATAAAATAAAAGCAACCCATTTGGACAATATTTTAAATAAACTGCACTCTTTACACCAAATAAACTATACTAACAAATAATAAATAAAAAAAATTAGAAATACAATAACAGTCAGAACCAGAACAATAAGCAGTTACAGACCGTTGCCAATCTAACTAATCAAGTTTTAAGTTTTTGGACAAAAAGACCAACTTATCTACATTTTCTGCCAAAAGTTGCAGTGGTGGAGAAAACCCGCTCACTAGCAACAGAGGTAGCAAGAATAGAGAGTGTGGCTGTATTTGGCCTCATTGTCTTTCCACCAAAGAAGAGAGTCAGCTTCAAGGGAAGAGCACCCTGAAGCTCTGTACTCACAAACTTCTTCATGGACCTGCTCCAAAAGGGACTTGCTTCTTCCCACCTGTCCCTGGAAAAGTTCACCAAAAGAGTTCAGTCATCATAAGACTTCTTAGCTGGAGGTGATCTGGTCGATGATTTCCCTGAAGAGGAAGAAGACTCAGCTGCTGTCTCGGTGACATCCTCAGACTACAAACAACGCAATAAAATAAAAAAAAGAGTTAATAAGATTATAATTTTAAATTAAAAAAAGTTAATTATATCATAATACAATAACAATACCTCTTCTTGCATGGTCATCATTTCTGTTATGAGGTGGTTCAATATCCTCTCTTGCTCATCATCAGGGCAGGGCTTTAAATCTGGGCTCCAGGGCTTGTTGATGATCAGTTTTAGCTTTTTCATAAAGTGCTGGTACAACTTTTTGGCTAAAGTGGTGACGTGATGGGATGTCGTAGGCAGCGGGGCTCAAGAACTTTAAAGCTGGCGCATCAACAACAGAATACGGATGTAAATTCAGAGCTTTAAAACTCCTACAGCGTGTGTAATTGCTTTGGACCAATCTGAATTAACTGATAAAGGTTGTTTAAATGCTGCTGTTATCCGTCTTTGCAATGAGCTGCTAGATGAGACGTTCACATTTGGATGAGGTTGTTTCAAGTGCGTTAACAAGTTAGACGTGTTGCCTGCTGCAGATCCAAACTCCGTGAAACAACGTCGGCACACAGCTTTGGATTTGCACTTGTATTTTCACATTGCTGAGTTTTAACAAGAAAGCCATAATGTTCCCAAACTGGAGACCGCAACGAGATGAAAGAGTCTTCAAGCTCTGGCTGTTTCGTTGCCTGCGAGGCTGCTAATGCTACGTGTGCTGCAAGACTATGCAACAATTAATAGCGCTGTGCTGAAACACGCTTAGGAACTTTAGTTCAGCGACACATAATTTCTCGTTAATAAAATTTAATGATTGAAAAAAAAAAACGAAACAGTACGCACGTGGACCGAACCGAACCTGCTGTACGGAAACAGTTCAATACACCCACGTGTACCGTTACACCCCCAGTATTTATGTATGTATTAAATCCCTAGATAGATTCAGAATTTGTATGTAAACTTACGGACAGGACTGGATAAGGCATTGCATCTTCCTGCTCCCTTTTCAAACATTTTTGTTTTGTTTACATAATATTTTGGTGGAAATATTTACATTTTAATTTGTTTTTTGTTTTGTTGAAATTTTAACTATTCGAAATAAAGAAAAAAATTGGAATCATGAAAAAAAAATTGTGAATAAAAATCCTGTTGATAACTTCAAAACTAAACACTGATCTACCAAACTATAAAACTAGTTTTATTTGGAGCAGTAGCGGACTGGCCATCGGGAGCACCGGGACATTTTCTAGTGGCCTGGCCCACTCAGTGGTAGCAAAGGTACTGACTGGACTAAAGGCTCAGTTCAGGTCACGCTGGATCATTTTAAATAAACAAGACACTTTTGCCCGGGCTCACTGACGCTGCACTGTTGCGATTGGGAAAGACAAGACACCTCCTCCCACCCCTCCTTTCTTTTTCTGAGGTTGACTGTCACAGCAGACACACAGGTTGTGCGCCTGCCCCCGTGGACTTGTGCTCGCGACGGTTATGTTACCTGGTTACCTCTGAAAATTAAAGAAACCATCATTAGTGTTTTGTAAGGAAACTCAGTTTTCAAACCTTAGATTCACCAAAATATTAAATAAATTTGGAATAAAAATGAAATAAATTACACTCATATCAGACTAGTAACGTTATTGACTTTATATGTGAATGTTTTTGTTCAGTGCCCCGAGACAACTCCTGTTGTGATTTGGTGCTATATCAATAAACTGAATTGAAATCTAGGATTTTTTTTTGTACTAGTCGAATCCTCGAAGTCACCTGTCAATCAATCCAGCAGGCTTGTCAGCAACTGATCAATCAGCAATCTCAATTTGTCCCGAAGTGAAACGCCCATTACCTGCAGGAGCTCCACCCGCTTTTCCTCCAACAGCATTGTCAAGGTTATGCATTACGAACACTTTGAGGTTAGAGGGAGTTCATGAAAAATCATCAGAAAAAAAATGGTTAAATGTTGTCAGTGAAGAGAGTGTAATTCAGACAGAGAGCGTTTAGAGGATGTTATACAATTTATTCAATTTCCAACATTAAACAAAGTTTGGAAAAATGTAAAAGATGGATAAAGGCCTGTGGCCGACCTCATGAGTAGCTGAATACAACAGTTATAAATAGGAAGTACTACATTTTCACCTGTACGATGGTAACTGAAAGTTATTAATTGTTGGATTGTATACCTGGATTATTGAGCATGGACTTTGTAGGTAACTGAATCCTCCATTTTTTTTTTTGTCATAATTGCATTGTATGCTTAATGGTTAAATTAAAGGTTAATGCTTAAAGCTAGTTGTACTTGATTTTGTGTTTTAAATGTAGACCCTAACCCTAAAGATCAGATCCTATAATCGCCCCTGCCATGCATTCAAACTGCGCTCAATTTAAACTCGGTCTTTGTGGTTTGTGTTAATCAGGTGGTGGTGACCTGGGCCAGTCCGCACCTGATTAGGAGTGAACTGTCTTACGTCTTTAGGACTCATCTCAATAATCAGTTAAATTGTTATCCCTCTAGTGAAGGCTCTAAGAACAAACCGATGTCTAAAATTTTACCTCAGTTACTAATAAGGAGAGCTTTGTTGCCGTGGATTTTTGTGTGTCTTGTCAAATTTGTCTTGTGGCTAAATCTTTGTCCACAAAGCTCACATTCAAATGGTTTCTGTCCCGTGTGAACTCTTGCATGTGAGTTTAAACTCGACTTGTGGTTAAATCTTTGTCCACAAACCTCACATTCAAATGGTTTGTGTCCTGTATGACTTCTCATGTGCGTGTTTAAACTTGTTTTACGACTAAATCTTTGACCACAAAGCTTGCACTCAAATGGCTTCTGTCCTGTGTGGGCTCTCAAGTGTGAGTTTAAATTACTTTTCCGACCAAATGTTTGTCCGCAAAGCTCACATTCAAATGGTTTCTCTCCTCTATGGATTCTCATGTGCGAGTTTAAACTTGTCTTCTGGCTAAATCTTTTGCAACAAAGCTCACATTCAAATGGTTTCTCTCCTGTGTGGACTCTCATGTGTATTTTTAAATTTGTTTTTTTGGTAAAACTTCTATCACATTCATCACAACTAAATGATATTGGTCCTGTTTGGACTTTCCTGTGTGTCTCAACATTTTTCTTATAACCCAAACAGCTTGAACATCCTCCTGTTGAAACACATGTCATGTGGCTCTGAAGAGACCGGTTGTGCAGAAATTGTTGAACACACTCAGAGCAGCTGAAACATTTGTTAACAGAGTTTACAGCTGACTCAGGAGCTCTGCTCTCCTTCCAGTCTTTGTCACTGTCTTCAGTTGTTGACCCAGAGTCTGACAAGTGTTCCAGCTGAGAGTCAGGATTGTTCCCATCTTCATCGTCTTCATCATCCTCATTGACTTCAGTCTCTGAAGAGCTAGAAGCATCTCCATGAGGATTTAGATCTGAGTTCCTGCTGGTTTCTGCTCCTCCACAGTCCTCTCCATCAGCTTCTACTTTCATCTGGTCAACTGAGCTGCTGGTTGGAACATCTCTGTCCTCCATTTGATGCTGATGAAGCGGTGAGGACAGAGGCTTCTCTTCATCATCCTCACTCTTCACATGAACTACAATGAATGAAAACCTGCTGGTATCAGCCTCCTCCTTCACATTGAGCTGCTCCTCCTCCAATATGGTACAGAGTTCCTCCTCTTCCTCCTTAATGTGGAGGGGCAGTGGGTCCTTCTGATGAAGCTGTGAGAACAGAGGCTTCTCTTCATCATCCTCACTATTTAGAGGAACTGCAGTGAATGAGAACCTGCTGGCATCAGTCTCCTCCTTTGCACTGAGCTGCTCTCTCTCCAATTGGGTCCAGAGTTCCTCCTCTTCCTCCTTGATGTGGAGGGGTTCTAGGTTCTGCTGATCCACATCAGGCCTCCATTCCTCAGGAGCATCTACTCTGATCAGCAGAGTCTGCTGAACATCTGCAGGGGACACTGAAACACAGACAATATGGACTGAATATAACTTTATATTCACTCATACATCACTTGTGTTGTTAATTTATGTTCTGTGGATCAGAACTGTTCCAAGTCAAAGGAACAACATTTTATTGAGTAATGGGCCTTTTCCACCGCTCCTCTTCAGCCCGGTTTGGCTCGGTTCAGTACGGTTTTAGAGACAAACAAATGTCAGGTTTACCTTCCTTCTCTGCATCATGTCAGCCAGCTCTCTACCTTTGCCTGTCATTGTCCCCACATTTAGAGTTGCCACCATCAGTCTGACAATCTTGACTTTCCTCTTCTCCCTCCTTGTGGTCTTCGACCAACAGTAGCACAATTTCCGTGATGTTTGCCAACAGCACCGGTGGCAATTATAGTTAACTCAGGTCTCGACTGATCCGGTATGTTGTAGCCTAGATGAACTTGCACATTCATTTTAGCAGGTGTTTTACATCGGATACCCATCCTAACAAAACCCTCACCCTTGACCCAAGCCAGGGAATAGCACAGCACAAGATACACTGGCTTGTGCTCCCTAGTGCAGGGGTCACCAACACAGTGCCCGCAGACATTTGGTCGCCCGCAGGGACTGTGTGAGTCGCCGGTGGGGCATGTTAAAAAAATAGCACTCATCATCAAGGAGCACTACCTAAAAATCATTATAAGTTTAAAAATTTAAGTAATAACATTTGCATGGATGTAGATTTAAAATGAAAACAATTGATTAAAGGTTTTAAAAGAAAATCTTTGCATACATATTAGTGACCTTGTCTGCGGTCAATGTTCAGAATCATGTGCAGACGCACTGCGATCTCTGAGCGGCACAGCTACAAGCTTTGTTTACCTGGCAGAAAAACATAAGAAAACAACATATTTTCAGAGTGATTGGGAGGAAGAGGTTCTTTAATACTTGTGAAAGACATATCGGTGCTTACTGCCACAGTGAATTTTAAACTCCTGCCTGCCTGCAAATGGGTCGTAAACAAAAGGATTGTGTCAACACAGACTCATGTTCGTGCTGCTGTTCGGCGTATTGTTTTTATGCTGTAGAGCTTTAGAGCATGACGTCACTTGTCCGCGGCGCGGAGGCTGATGGGATATGATGAGGTCGGATCCACCATATTTACTGTCCTCAATATTAGCCGTAAAAAAAAAAAAGCTTTCTCAGTTTTTTTTTTTTTTTTTTAATCTAAGTAGGTTAAAACAATTGAATTTAGCAATGGTCCGAACATGTTGCGTTATTGGATGTAATGTCCGATCACACTACCGGAATTGTACAAAGATCAAAAATTGACTTTTGTTTTATAGTTTCCTGCCTGGAAATAACACGAGGGAGCTCATGTGTTGGACGTAACAAAAAGGAGATGAATGGCCTGGATATCAGTGGTGAGACATCCTGATATAACCTTCTCCAGCGTCCCAAAAGACCTGCTAGTTTGTTCCAGACATTCTGGTGAGTGTCTAAATTCAGTTTGTTGGCGTTGTGCCATAAATTTTTGCCATGATTTTGTCCGGGTGCATCATGTTTAGTTCATGATTTGTTCATAGAAGTGGGCCAGCCTAGCTTAGGTCATGTTTATATTTGTATGTATCGTAGTCCGAGTTTAGACAGAGTGGACATCTGGGTTATTGTGAAATAAACTGTTTAAAGTTTCTAGTGTTGTCACTTTACTGGAGTAATACTGATCTGTGTTCTGATATGTCCTCATCAACTGCTCCAAAACTGTAAAAATGTTGGTGCAAACAGCGCACAGCTGTATCTCTGTCTTTCTTCAGCCCCCAAGGTTCAAGGTTCTTTGTCATTCCACCACGTGTTACAAGTAGTGGAAAGAAATTGTGTGCACAGGGTTCCAGTTGCATACAACACAAGTATTAAAATGTAAAAGAAAAAGACAGTAATAAGATCTAAGATATGAACGAAGAGAAACATTAACTAAAAATACGCTAAGCACTAGTAGTATAAAAACAATACGCTGAACAGCAGCACAAACATGAGTCTGGGTGAACGGATGAGTACGAATGAACACAGCAACATGAAACAGATCAGCAGCAACATGAAACAGATCAGCAGCAACATGATGTCATTTTTTTTCCCCCACAGTGATTATTCTGGTTAGAGATTCATGAGTCTAACAGCCTCAGGGTAGAAGCTGTTCCTCAGTCTGGTGGTTCTACACTTAATGCTCCTTAACCTCCTTCCTGAGGGGAGCGGGGCAAAAAGTGTGTGTGCTGGGTGAGTGGGGTCCTTCATGATGCAGGTGGCCCTCTTCCTGCATCTAGAGGTGTAGATGTCTGTGATGGTGGGGAGGCTGACTCCAACAGTCTTCTGTGCAGCCTTCACCACTCTCTGTAAAGCTTTTCCTTCCACAGCTGTGCAGCCTCCATGTCACACGTTGATGCTGGAGCACAGGATGCTCTCCACTGCACAACTGTAGAAGGAGGTGAGGACTGAGCTTCCCAGACCAGCTCGTCTTAGCCGCCTGAGGAAGTAGAGTCTCTGATGATCTTTCTTGATCAGGCTGGTGGTGCTGTTGCCCCAACTGAGGTTGTCATTCAGGTGCACACCCAAGTACTTGTAGCTGGAGACCACTTCCACTGCAGATCCTCCTATGTTCGGAGGGGTTGGGAGTGGGGTGTTTGTTCCTTCTCAAGTCCACGACGACCATCTCCTTTGTCTTCTTCACACTGATGTGAAGGTTATTCTCCTTGCACCAGCTCTCCAGACATTCAACCTCCTGCCTGGAGCTGGACTTGTTTGTGATGCATCCCACCGTCGCTGTATCATCTGCAAACTTTACAAAATGACAGCCTGGATGGGTAGGTGCACAGTCATTTGTGAGCAGAGTAAACAGGAGAGGGCTCAGCACACAGCCCTGAGGGGAGCCAGTGCTGAGGGTTATGGTGGAGAAGGAGAAGTTGTGGATCCTCACACACTCAGGTCTGTTTGTTAAGAAGTCTAGGATCCAGTTGCAAATGGAGGGGCTTGGTCCTAGTGTGAGTAGTTTGTCCATCAGTGTTTGGGGGGATCATAGTGTTGAAGGTAGATGTGAAGTCCACAAAGAGCATACAGACGTAGGAGTTCTTCTGCTCCAGGTGGGTGAGAGCAGAGTGGATCAACAGAGGAGATGGCATCCTCTGTTGATCCATTCTCGTGGTATGCATACTGGTGAGGGTCCTCGTTGATGTTGATGGTTGTTTTGATGTGGGTCATGACCAGTTTTGGGTCAGAAACGTGGCAGAGAAGGCTAAACATGTCAAAAAGCTAAAGTTGCGCCAATACCAAAAGTCATAGCACCATTCTCCTGAACGAACTGAACGTTTTGAGAAATGATTTGTTGAAATAGATCAAACATTTTGGAACGAGAAAGATGCCGAAAAACGTACAGAAGAAAAATGGATCACAACAGAGTGAATGATTCATACATTCACACAATAATTGGCTATAAGAGTGTAATGTAACAAAGATACGTTATTAGTACAGGAGGTAGCGGATATGTGAACGTCGGGACGCTATTGGACTACAAATGCGGCCTTCGAAGCATACAGGCCCTGAATTTACACACGACCTCAAATATCTTCTCTTCTAAGTGTGTAAAACTTGTTTTGTCATTGATGGCAATAGTTTGGCTAGTGCATCTTCAAACTAAGTATAATTCAGGGATAAAACAGCCTCCTGCTTCTTGAGCTGATCTTTTAGTTTCTAGATCTTGTCCACCTTACTGCTAGTTTCTGTTAGCATGCTAAGCTACAAAACACCTTAACGCTAGCTTCTGTTAGCATGCTAAGCTACAAAACACCTTAACGCTAGCTTCTGTTAGCATGCAAAGCTACAAACACCTTAACGCTAGCTTCTGTTAGCATGCTAAGCTACAAACACCTTACCGCTAGCTTCTGTTAGCATGCTAAGCTACAAACACCTTAACGCTAGCTTCTGTTAGCATGCTAAGCTACAAACACCTTAACGCTAGCTTCTGTTAGCATGCTAAGCTACAAACACAACACATTTACAAGTTCTTGTTAAGAAGTTAAATCCATCAACTACCTACAAACCACAGCTAGCTAACATCGTCTGATGCTGAATGAAAAAAACGAACCTGCGCTCATTTTCTCTCCAACTCGACAGTTCCTCTTCGTAATCTGAGATTATTCCTTCAAAAAGACCCGATGTTTCTCCACAGCTTCCTCCAGTCTGTTGGACCTGCTGTCCCCACGGTTTTACTCCTCGGTGAACTTAGTTCTAGGTTGGATCTTCGACACATTCACTCCGTGGATTCAGCGGTGTCTTCGACCCGTTACAGCCGCTGCTGGCAGCGAGATTACGGTCAGAACATGAACGCTGGTTTTTAGGGACTGTCAACAAATTACCGAACGAATGAGAAAAAAAACGAAAAACCTACATATCAAGTGAACTTCCGAACAACAGCACTAAATTGTTTTACTAGCCTGGACAAATAAGACTCAGCCACTCTTATCTTATTTTAAAGCATCTTTTTTTAATAAAAAAAAAAATCATATTTTTCCCATAGCTCTCGTGACTCAGTGAATCACCTAGATCAGACAAATAAGACACACCAAACTTGATCATTTTTCATTTCATCTTCTATTATATAGTGTTATTGTGCTATTAAAGACGATTAAAGTTTTTGTGGCATCTGTGCTGCTGCAGTGTACACTCCCCGATTGACATCTGCCAGCACTGAGATTGTGCTAAACTAGTGGCGCACAATACAGACGTGCCAGCTCAAATGCTAGAGGCCCCAGGGCCAGAGGGGACTCATTTTCAGCCCTGGAGTTTCATGCCTCAGACTGGCCCACTTTAGATCACGACCTATTATTCAATTCAATTCAAAAATACTTTATTAATCCCAGAGGGAAATTAAATGTTGTAACTCATCATCCTGGATTCATTAAAGTGTTGTTGTAGATGCTGATGGCTGTGGGCAGGAAGGATCTCCTGTAGTGGTCTGTCTTACAGCAGATCTAAAGAAGGCTCTGACTGAAGACACTGTTGTTGTATGACAGTCTGATGGAGAGGATGCTGAAAGTTGTCTATAATGTTCTCCATTTTATGAAGAATCCTTCTTTGTACAATCATCTCCAAAGGTTCTAAAGGAGTCCCCAGAACTGAGCCAGCCTTCTTTATGAGCTTGTTGATCTTTTTTAAGTCACTTAATTGCTCTGGTGCTGCTCCCCCAGCAGATGATGGCAGAAGAGAGAGCACTCTCTACAACCGACAGAAAATATGCAGCATCTTGCTGCAAACATTGAAGGACTTCAGCTGTTATTAAAATCATGTAAAATCATGTAATTATAACCTTAACCTAAATTCAATTCATTTCAATTCAAAAATACTTTATTAATCCCAGAGGGAAATTATTTGTTGTTGTAACTCGTTATCCTCATTTCATTAAGAGATGTTATAGATGCTGATGGCTGTAGGCAGGAAGGATCTCTTGTAAAGGTCCATCCCACAGTGGATCCAAAGAAACTGGCTGCAGATGCCGTTCGATCCGTCCACCCAGACTCGGCTGGCCTCTCGGTTCCCCCGGGATGTAGTACCGCACGAATGCCGGGCAGAACTCCTCCCAGAGCGATGGTCACTCCTCCCAGCAGTCTGCCGAGCTCCTCGTCGCTGCGGACATCCAACTGTAGGTGCCGAGGGACGATCCTGTCCTTCCACTGTCATGAGCCGTGTTTCCTTCTAGTTCCAGGATCTCAGTGGTCAGGCACTCGAGCACAGCTGGCAGGTAGATGAGAATGCATCCACAGAACATCCTTTTCAACTCATTTGAGATTTGGGGCTGTACTTGAGGTATTATTTGAGCTTTTTAGATGTTATTCAGCTGCAGTTGGTTGTAGAAAACTGCCTTGTTGCCATGGTTACGCATCATAACACATGTCCAAAACTAAAAAAGTTTCAGTAAAAATCCTTCCAGCTGCACAGCATCTGATACCAGAGGGAAAAAAAATCCAAAAAATGTGATTTACATCCAGCAAAAGAGGAATTAAAGTTTCCAAAAGCAAAATCTCAGAATGAAAGTAACAGAGCTGCTCCAACATGCAGCCACCTTGAGCGGTACAATTCTAGAATACTAGAGAATACTAAATACTAAATACTGAATACTAATACTAGAATACTAAAGCTGTTGGGGGAAGAATCAGTTTTGTTGTGTGTTTCCTTGACTGATGAAGCCTTCCTAACCGAAGGCAAAACTTTTCAGCACAAAAAAAAACAAAAAAACTGTCCAGATAAAATGACTGAAAAATGTTAGATTGTATACCTGGATTACCGAGCATGGACTTTGTTGTTTTCAACCAGTTTGACAAGACTGTCAACAAGGAAGAGGGCCGGCAATGGAGGAGGGGGCGTACCAAAGAGACCATCTTATCACAAGCAGAACTTGTTTGTTCCACTTTGGAGTAAGATCAAAGCACAGGTGGAGCTTTTGATTGGCATGAACATGCCCAGAGCTCTAGAACCTTTGGAGGTCATCAGGAGTGAAGGTGATGGACTTTTCACCATTAAAACTGTGCTCGGGTGGACAGTGAATGGGCCACTTAGACGAGAATGCTGTGGAAGACCAGGTTGTTGGTCAACAGTCACCGTCAACATAATTTCTGCTGTTACAATGGACAAGCTATGGAAACAACATTTCAAGATGGACTTCCGTGAGAGCAACCATGATGAGCAGATGGGGCTGTCAATGGGACCACCATGACAGCTGTGCCGCTGACTGTTGTTGTCAATGGGACCGCCACCACGGCTGTGCTGCCGACCGTTGCTGCCAATGGGACCACCACAACAGCTGTGCTGCCGACCGTTACTGTCAATGGAACCATCACGATGGCTGTGCCGCCGACCGTTGCTGTCAGTGGGACCGTCACGACGGCTGTGCTGCCGACCGTTGCTGTCAATGGGACCGCCAGGACGACTGTGCCGCCGACCGTTGCTGTCAATGGGACCGCCACGATGGCTGTG